TATCACGCGATATTTTGCGCACGTTTCGAGTTTCTGTTTGAAGACATGACATAAATATTCACAAACATTTTCTGATGCCCTCGCTTGAGGGCACACTAACAGAGGGTATACTGTGTAATGTAAAGAAAAGGTTCTGTTTGATATCTTACATAAGTAGATATACAAAGTATGTAAAAATCCATATGCTCCAAAGAGGGGAAACCTTGATTCCAAATTAATTATTCTTTCTATTGGTCTTAGTGACATTTTCTGTGTGTGCCAATAATTAAGGCTGGCCGACTCGAGCATAATGTTAATTATTATTTTTGCATAAATAATAAGCAACAAACAACAAAGTTTATTGGGTTGAAATTCACAGAAATTGAGCTTTGACTTTGATTTTAATGTCGCTTGATGCTTATAATTCCCGACATGTTATAGCTGAGAAAGAGGAAAAAGTGTTCGTCAGAACGGGTTGTTGTTTCTTGATTTTTATAATATGAGTATGCATCGCTTAATATCCTGCTGAATTACTTTCTTTTTAATTCCTCATTTTATACATATATCGCTGAATATCGAGCTGAATTACTTTCTTTAGCTATCTGTGTAGACGTTTCATATATAATAAATTTAAAATTATATTATTGGAATACATGTATAGAAACATATTTCATAATATAATAATTTAATATATTAATATATATATTATATTCTGTAATTATTTTGGAGCAGTCGAGGGTAAGGGTTTAAGGATAATAGCAGAAATACAAAGCAGCCGATGCGAATTAAATTAGTTGATGCTTCACTCGTTTTAAATTTATAATATTAATAACTTAAACAATTTGTTTTAAAATCACGCCCAGATCCCAATTTTTACCAGAAGGGTATTCATGGTGCGGCAACGTAAATAGATTTATTTATATTTGTACTTCGTCTTTCTTGTTAGTCTCTTAGCTGACCACAAATTGAATTTTATGCATTTCCCTTTAAATTTCTTAATTGCTTGTGCTATTTTTTTATTTTTATTTTTTGTCGAATTTTGATTGATTACTTTTAACAACGAATCGCTTTATTGTAAAATGTTTGCAGCTGGAACATGTTTCCAGTGAATAACCACATTCTCGAGTCATTTGGGAGCTCTTGATAAATTAGGCAAGTTAACTGCTTAAATGGGAACATAGCTGAAAACTGTACTCGAGATGCCCAATACTAAAGCAGGCAAATGCAAATGGATATCGAGGCCAAAAACATGGCCAAATGTCTCACAGACTGTTAAATGAATACTTCGGAGGTGCAAGGTCCAAAGGGAGAACATATAAATTACAAGCACATGCCGTTCAACTATATGTATTTGGGGCAAGAGGACGTACAACACATTTTCAAGTGCCAAAAGCATGTAAGGCATTTGCCACAAGGGAAAAAATCGCATGAGTAATTTGATGCCGCCCATAGGAAAGGAACAGCCAAAGGATATTGGCGAAGTGCAGCAGCAACAAGAACAACAGCAACCGCTGTTTTGTTGCCAAATGCCACAATATAGAGCGAGCCCGGACCGGGCTATCAGAACGGTTCCAACTACGACAATGTTGTGGTCGAAACTTGCCACACACACACACGCCCACATACATGTACGTATACACATGCCACCCGTAGCTGATTAATGTACGTCCGGCTATCTTGCAACATGCTAACAAACCCAACCAAAAAAAAAAGAGAGAAAAAGGAGTTTATCCCTTTTTTGTTTTTCTGGGGCATGCAACACACTCGCAACTTTACGCCCAGGCAAGAAATACTTGATTAAAGTGCAGCTGCTGTTATCAATTTAATTGTGCTTGCAGCACTTTACGAGCGCCGCAAGTGTAATTAAAAATTTGGGCCGCATAGTCAAAGGCAGCCCACAACAAACGAATTGAGTTGTGTCTGTATGACTGATGGCCCATTGATTAGGCGTACAGCAAAGGCAACAACAACAGCAACAACTTGATTGTTTGGGTCAACATTTGGGGCGTCACCTGTACAGTGCGAGATGTATATATGTATATAGAGAGACAGAGATCCGGAAGCCGGGCATGAGTAAGAGCACAAAATATGTGACTGGGAACACAAGCTCATGGCCTGGGGCCACCTACAACAACTGTTGCGGCCAAAGGTAACAGCAATAACAACAATAATAACAACAACCACAGGCAAAAGTGAAAGTGACAAAGTGTAGCGCAGAGGAGGAAACTGAAATTCGAGCGACAATGACAATGCGAATCGGCGGCGGCGGCGTATAACGCTGTGTATTTAAAGCATTAAAAGCATTACACCAAAAATAAAAAAAAAAATAAAAATCACAAAGAAACAAGCAAAATAAACGCAGATTGCAATGTTTAAAAAGTGAAACAACAACCAAACGAAACTTGATAAATGATAAAAAAGCAAGGAAAAAAACCTAGAAAGTCAGTTTCAGCTTAAGAGTACCGAATATGAAACACCCTAGGCAAGGCTGTAAAGCCAGTTAACGATTTGAACCAATGCAGAAGTTCAAAACGAATTTGCATCATTTTTTTTTTGTTTGGTTTAGATACGATTTTTTCGTAAGCAGAATTTCTTTGTTTCTTTTTGGACACGTTAAGCCTTCAATAGAGCATCTTTAAATTGTTTAAAGTCAATGGAAAAGTCTGGTGGTACTAAAATAGTCTTTCTTTTGGCTACGTTTTGATAAAGGTTAGGAAGCTAAAAATCTAGTTATCTATCTTAGGAAAAAAGAATTTCAAGTAAAAGTTCGGTTCAAGGTATGGTTCATTGTAAAAAAGGTATACGGAATTTGAGCTGGCTTAAAGCCTTACCTTTGACAGGTGTACATATAACAAATTCTAAATAGTATTCTTCCAACTGTTTCTACGCTCATTGAGGTCCACTTTTACAGGTATATGTTTGATATAAATCAGACTTTTATTTTTAAAGGGAATTTTTTGTAGTATAGCTGCATTATATCATATAAATATAATAATTTAAGGTACATCTTGAATTCTTAAAAGCTGAGCGAAAAATTGAAATGGAAAAAGGCCTTTGTTCAACGTATCTCACATTTCGGGAGAACTGTTCACACCATAAGGGTATTAAATATTCAAACAAATGAAAAAGTTGGTGGACTTTCTGAGGTTTTGTCGCCCTGGCCCAGAAAAGTGTTTTGGATGAAGCGAAGATGGGGGCGCTGTCACTAACTTTAGCTCTAGTTGCGGCTTGTTGCCAGTTGCCATTTGCCAGTTTTCCAGTTTCTCATTTACCTGCACCTTTGGCTGGGGCTTCCCCGACTGGACAGCTGTGCTAGCTTTAAGCGAGGCAATCGCAGTTGGGCCAGGTCCTCTGGGCGACCCACACCATGCCCGGCGGTGCTCTGTGTCTGTCTGTTGAGTTCAAACGGAAAACTTTGGGAAAATCATTCACACAAGTCAACTTAATTAAAATGGACTTGTCCGCCTACAGCCCCGCGTACTTGGCCCTTTTGTCTTCCTTATAGACCGCGCTGCTTAAGTGGCGGAAACCGTTAATTTACCTTCCCATGCAAAAGATTAACCAAAATAAAAAAAAACGAGCAAAGACAAATGACTGGGTGGTGGTGGGATTAGATAAAAAAGTAAAAAAAAAACTATAAAAAATAAGTCAGGTTTCCTGCGGCCAAACTCGATGTTTAAATTATGAGCGTAATGCTGAGAAATTACTTTTTAATTAGTTTCTAGTGGGCTTCCAGAACTTCCACACCAATTTTCCGTTCGCTTTAATTAATTTTTTCCCGTCCTGTAAGTGGGCCAAGTTTAAAGCAAGCCCGAATGATGCAAGGATAAATTGGTTTTTCGGCTGACCTAAAATCAGCCACACTTTGTTCTACAGCTGCGTGAAATCAAGTTTAAAGTCGCAAAGCATCTCCCAGCAGGCAATGCCTACTGCCCAGGCTTTGTTAAGGATTTCCATTCAGAACTGAACGCACGTTCTTATCGCCTGGCTGGCAGGGACGTCCTATACGACATCATTGACGTCAGTAATCCGCATGTGGAAGCAATGCGTGCCCAATAGGTAAATATTAGAGAGGCGCACTAACAATAAAAATGCAAGGGACGAGCACAAAAATCAATTTCTCGGGCGTGTACTTTTTGCTAATGGAAAAACGATGTATACACTCGCAAAATAATATAAGCCTAATTTAGTTGTAAATCTTGGATTCAAAATAAACGAAAAGATTTCTAAATATCAGTAGAAAATAATTTTTTTATTTTTGGTTCCAGGGTTTGCTGAAATTAGCCCTTGTGAGGCAAGGTTTGTAGAAAAGCAAAATACTCTTGATGGATTTTTTTTTGTAATTTTGTCACCGTTGTTTTTTTTTATTGTGCATAAAGTACTTAGATCTAATAATATAGTTAATGTATATTTATATTTATATGTATGTATTATGAATGGATTTATATCTCAACTTTCGCATTATCATCATCTATTAACTTCTCCTTCTTCTTATTTTTTTTTCTGATGCCCGGATGCCAAGTGAAGTTCCCTTCCCGGGGAACTCAGCACTTGTCATCTATTAGCTAATTGATTTTTTTTCATGTTTTTTTTTCTGGTTAGGCAAGTGAGAGGGAGAAAGGCAGACGAGATAGTGTGTGCGTGTGTATGTGAGTGAGACAGAGATAGAGAGAGAGTGAGAGAGAGAGAGAGAGAGAGAGAGATGGAAGTGGTGATATATCGAATGATGGTGTAGTTAGGATAGTCGGAAACATTTTTTTATATACAAAAGTGTTGGACGAAAGTAGCGTCCAGTTATGTGAGTCTGAGGCGAGAAAATCGTTTTGTGTCGAATTCGACTCTCCCGTCCAGAGTTTGAGTCAAGTCGCAGTTTGTGGTTTTGAGTGTGGGCGTGTCTTTTTTCGGGAATATTTGAGTGTTAGCGCGTCAAAGACAGGACTAGTCAGCAGCTTGAGCCGAGTGTGTGTCTGATTGTGGTTAGATCGAGGTGAGTGTTCATCTTGTTTTTGCGGGGATGCTGCTTAGTATGGGCCAGACTTGCCGGGTGGGCCGTAGTTGCTGGATGGCGCGGAGATACTACCGCTATCACCACCAATAAAACCCCCATCGCCGCCGCCAGTTGTGTAGCCGCTGCCAGTGTTGGTCTGAGTGAAGCCACCGGTGCCGCCGGAGATGCCGCCGCTTTCCTTTTGAGTCTTGTATTTGATGAAGTAGACCTCGGGCTTGGAGGGCTGCGTGGGAGCGGGCGTGGGAATGACAATATCCTGTTGATCCTCGGGCTTCTTGACCAGCACATAGACCAGGGTCTTCTCTTCGTTCTGGGGCTGCAGCGGGATGACTGGAGCCTGGTACGAGGGTGGAGATGGCGCCTTAATGAAGATGATCTTGTAGTGCTTCTGGGCCTGGCCCACTGGCAGATTGGGGCGCTGACGCACTTCCTCTTGCTCTGGTGGTGGCACATGCACATAAATGTGCTTTTGCACCAAAGTGGTGCCGCCGCCGCCACCACCGCCTCCGAAACCACCACCGATGCCTGCAAAATTATCCAAGATTAGCTGGGAAGTTAGTTAAGCTTGATGATTGACGCACCTCCGCCGAAACCACCGCCGGATCCGCCGCCGAATCCACCACCTGAGCCGCCGCCAAAGCCGCCTCCTGAGCCACCGCCGAAACCACCGCCGAAGCCGCCTCCTGAGCCACCACCGAAGCTGCCTCCTGATCCGCCACCGAAGCTGCCGCCACCTGAGCTGCCTCCGAAACCACCACCGGAGCCGCCACCAAATCCGCCACTGATGCCAATGCCGCCACCGCCGCCGCCGCTGCCACCGTGGGAGCCACCGCCGCCACCGGGACGATTATAGTTGTAGCCGGCTTCAGGGCGCGCCGCGGCCAGCGCCAGGCAGGACATTAAGATGAAGGTTTTCATGGCTGCTCAAACACGCGCTCTTTTAGATGGATGTATGTAAATGTATATTCACGGATTGGCACGCACACACTTGCACTGTCACAGTAATCCTAGGTCTGTGCCGTGTATCGGTGTGTGTTGGGAGTGTAGAGATGGGAAGAGATACGATTGTTAGGGATGCCAGGCCAAACTGTGTATGTATGGCTGAGTGTCTCACGTTTGTTGTTTTTCTCAGTTATCCTCGCTGCACTCTCGACTCTAGACTCGGACTCGGACTCGGTTCACCGATGTTTATTAGACCAAATCAAATGCTTCACTGACGAACCAATGCAGCCGCATCATCAATTTATACAAAAAATCCAAGCGGCATAGATGCCACAATCGCACAGAGCCCGTAACACAGTCGGCCAGCGGCACACACAGATACACACACACACACACACATGGGCAGAGGTTAGCGATCATGATGATGCGACTCTTGCGCATGTGTGGCCCAGGCCCGTAGCTAGCCAGCGAGCTGGCCAATAATATGCAGCCCCCTGCCTCACTCTCTTCTCGCTCTCTTTCTCTCTCGCTCGCTCTCTCTTTCTGTGTGTGAGTCTCTCAGAGTTTGCGGTGTAGGACGGGCAAGTGAAACCGAAATTACCGCACAATCAACTTATTACCGCACAGGCAAAGCCAGAGCTCCACGATTTCCCGCCTGTCGGATGTGGCGCAGACTGAGAGCTGCCTTTGCTACTGCGGCTCTCACTCTCCAGCTGATGAACCCAATGTCGTGCACTTTCGCTCTCGCTGGCAGCGAGACCAGCTCGCAGCTACCAATTCGCAGCTCCCATCTTCGAGCTGCCACAGTGCTTGGGACGCGCACTTGAGCTGTGGCAGGCCAAGCGTTCGGCTGCAGCTTTCCTCGGGGGCGACTCGCAATGAAAATGAAAACATGCGCTCACGATCGCATTTTGGAGCTGGGCGAAAAGTGAAAATCATAAGAAAATGCTTTGGAAAACTTAAAGTCTCAGCCTGAAACCGATTCAGTTGTTCAACAATGGCAATTTGAATAATTTCGTGCGCGTGTTGTGGGTTTTCCTACCATTCGAATTTGGGTTGCCATTGTGCGGCAATCTTTACTATACATTCACATACTTGTATGATAAATGAGAATATGTGCAGAATAATGTTTACAACAAGAGCAAGTGGTGTGTGTTTAAACTTAACTCATTGTGATACTTAGCGCGTACTACTCGCCAATATACAGTAGAAATTGACTAAGTGCAATTTGTCATAGGAAAAAATGGCAATTTGCACTTAAAAAACCCTTTTTTGAGTGTTGCTTGAAAATTTACCAATTTTTGAAATACTTGCGTACATTTTTGTAAACATATATTTCAAGAAATTTTATTTTCAATAACAATTTTTTTTTAAATACTTTTATGTATTGCCGGTTGTACGTTTTATTTAAATGTCAAACAGACTGAACTTTCTGTTCAATTTCTAAAATCAGAATATAAATATACGAAAAAATTATTTAATAGAATAAATCTGGACCTTAATTCAACGAACCGATGCTCTCTAACTCTTAAATGTTCACTATACCTTTTTTAATAAAAATATTTGTTAACAAATTAAATAAATTGTTTTATATAAGAGCAGTGACAGCTTGTTTATATATAAAAAAAGATTCCCAATGTTTATTTTGCGTTCACCAACTAACAATGGTCACTGTACATACATATACACTACAAGCATGTTATCACTAATCTTATATAAAATATTGGGTATTCATACCCAGCCAATGTCCACTGTACATAGTTTGCTCAAGTTATTTACAGATTCGGGACGCGTCTTTCAGATTTTAAGCACAGATAAAAACGCCAAAAACCCGAGTCCATAAAACAGTTGTGAAATGCAGCTAAGGGCCCGTCAACGACTTCTGCGAAAACTTTGAGTGAGGGCATTCAGCAGTCGTGCAACACTCGAAAACTTAACATTCTTATTTGTTAGCGCTGCTTTTTACAACTTTTATTTATAGTCTTATAGCTTTTATGATTTGGCGGACCTCACGCTTACCCATCGCAAATTAGCTTCTTGCGTAATTTGGCCATAAAAAAATTGAAGAAAAATAAAAAAAATTAAATAAACTAAAAATATTTGAAAAAAAAACATTTTGCAAATTGTCGCCGCGAATCGACATTAAATGCAATTTTATTGTGATTACTGATTGCTCTCCTTGTTGTTGTTGTTGCTGTTACCGATATTAAAACTGCGTTTTTCTTGATTTAAAACTTTGCCTTTTCTTGTTATTTTTCTGTTTGTTAATTGCATTGAGCACTTAACCGCATAACGAAATGGTCCAATCGATCGCTCGTTCGTTGAACTACGCCAAAAATTGGTAGAGAAAATTGTACAAAGTGCCCAAACGGTTTTTGTGAGTTCATTTTTTTTAATTAGTCGGCAATTTTCGGGTCAACCAATTCAATTGTTATTTTTTTATCAAAGCGATTCGTTGCGATTTTTAATTTTATTAAATGTTGTACAATGGCACGTTTTTTGCTGCCTTTGGCTTTGTGCAAAGGTTACAGGATAAGCCCCTCAGATATTGTTTTTTATGCGCATGTTTTGCATTTCAAAAAACAATCGAAGAGACTCTTTTACACTGTTCCATACTAAAAATATGATAACTCAATGGCATATCATACCTTACTGCAGGAGAGACAGCACAGAAGAGGTCTTCAGCTTGATTCTAGAGCTGTTTTCTAATTTAAGAGATATTCCTTTACAACAAGCTTAGCTTAACAAGAAGCAAATAAAAATGTAATCTTGTTTTATTTGAGATTCAATTTTCACTAAATATTTATGTTAATTTAAAATCAAACTTATCGCTTTGGGCGTCAAAGCCTAATTAATGGAATAACAATAAATGTTAAGGCTATGGCTAAAACAGATTGAGGACTATGTGCAATAATCGTCGAAATTAAATGCAATTACAATAAACTGTCACTGAAATTTCAATAGTTGTTAATGTCTGAAACGTTGCCCAACAACTGCATTTCCGGCCTTTTAGCCAAAATGCCGGCGATTTCACCTTGAAAATCGCTTGCGTAACCAGACTCCAGCCACAACTACATCCACATCCAGAGTCAGTCACGAGTAGCTCCTCTTGGCCAAAACGTATGCAAAAAAAGTAACCAAAAATTGTTTTTTGCTAACGAACATCGAGCTTCGAACATTGAGCGACTTTTCGACTCTTTGGCTTTAAGTGCTTTTATTGTACGACAATAAATTGTGCGAGTGCCGCACAGAAATGTGGGAAATACTCAAATCAATTGAATGCCAAACTCCTTTAAAGTCGAGTTAACCAAGAGATGCTGCAGCTGTGGCCATCGTCAGCTCCAATCGTAGAGCAACCAGCAACACCTCCAAATGAGCCGCCGTTGCATTCCGATTCCGATTGCCATTGAGATTTGCGCAGATTGCGGGTCCATCGAATTTACATTTACAATTTACATTCAAGTTCACAGACAACACCAAAATTATCTGAACATTTTATGAGCCTAAACGTTTCACGTTCAATTTCCGATTCGACAATCGACAAAAGCAGTTCATTGAGGAGCAACCGCTAGATAAATCTCACGCTTATTCAGTTGAAGAGACATTCAGAGCATTGTCTGACATTGACAGTTTCGGGGTTAGTCAGATCATTGAATTAAACTTATACAAATTTGGGCCTTGATGGAGAATTTAAGAGAAGTCACGGCATTGCAAACTTTAACAAATAAATATATAAATACTTTGGTATATATTCTTGGATTGCCTGCCAAATGCCTCCTATATTCTTCATATATAGAAGATTTTGCCAATCGGTGAAACACATAAATGATTAAAAAAGATATATTGGCTTTGTGCACATGTGTGTAAGCGGGCAGACAGGGGACTTTGTAAGTGTATAACCTACTCGATTTAGCCACGTCCGACGGTCTGTACGCCCTTCTGTCTGTTCTCGTCGATGTTAGAGAATATAAGAGCTAGGTACCTGAGAGTTGAAACATAGCTCGGAATTATGTTCATTTCAAATAATCGATAGCTTATCTCGTTACAATGTAATCGATCAAGATTGATGTCGATGCAATCCCTAGCTAGCAACACCAAATCTGGTGTTTAGTCTATCGAGTAGAAATCTAGATTACTTTTTGTATATTTTTTTGGTGGTATAGCTTTGGCCTTGGATATACATATAAAATCCTCTGTAGTATATATTTAAGTACTGAATAAACACCGAAGATAATCAAGATAGCATTTCCTAAAGAGTGAGGCTATGAAATAATGTGTTAAAAGTACTTAGTGTGTATAAGGTAAAATACCTTACCTACCTTGCCAAAAGACAAGTCCCAAAATTCTTAATTTATAAAAATACAAACTTTTATCAATGTCTGCTACATTGCCTTAGGGCAATATATACAGGACTCAACTAAAGACAATATTAGTGAAAAAATGTATCTTTAAATTAATTCTGCCTGGAATACCTTATACATATTTAAGGGCATAAAACTGCAGCTTGTTAAACGTTATTCAATAGTAAACACGCCAATTGTTCGAAACCATATTTAGAAATCCATTACTCCTGCTGCTTATATATATATTTATAGAATAATTTATAGAATAGTACTTCTGGGCTTTACTTTTAGTTCTTCACTCTGATTGCTACATTTCCTTAAGTTGTGTCAGTTTCATGGTAAGCGCTTATATTTTATGCAAACGTAGATGTAGTTTTATTGAGTATGCTTTAGTCATTTAACTTGGCCCCTGTTTATGGCCAGTCAATTAGCAGTTAACCGCAAAGGATTAAGCGCAGCACGCAAATTGTATAAGAAATGGGAGGAGAGGGGCATCCTTTGCTACCGAGGCAGCGCGATTGGGGGTGACTGCGCCGTTGACACTGAAAGATGAAGATTGCAGCGATTCACGCAACTAGCTGCGCGGTCGGTGGGTGCTGTGCATCGCTGGGGGCCAGTAGGAGGAAGTTGGAG